GTTTGAACTCTGCAATGTTGCAAAATATAGGAAATAAATCAACTGAAAATCTACAAGTTTGGACTTTAACTTCTTTTGCCTGCATCAAGAAAACGTGACCCCAGTGCCTTATTAGAACTTTATTGGGTGTTTGGTTTGACAAACAATCGCCACTACAAGAGTAATAAGTTCAAAGAGCTCAAAGACACACTGTAATTGAAGAATCAAACACCTAAGATGAGAGAGGTGCTGGTCTGGTCCTGCAGCAAGTCAACTTTTCATATATCAGTGTTAAATGTATACCAGAGTGAGAAAACTCTGACGCATTGTCAGATGAGATTAGTTGAAATGACAAAAGAGGAACTGTGAGTAAAAAGGAAATTATTTATAAACTCAGGAAGTGCACACTGTGCAGATGTTGCTACGGTTTGCTGACAGATCACACAAAGAGGAGAAAGAAAACATTCGAGAAACAGAATGTCTGGATTCAGATCACTCAGCTTGTCTCTAGGTCTGATTCTGGTGCTGCAGGTAAAAGGTGAGGAGGCGTCTGACTACTTTATGCTTTTAGTTTCTGTCTGAATGAAGGGAATTTCCTTCTTGTTAGGCTAACAGATATTTTACTTTCAGCTTCTTCCCTTTTCTTGCTTTTCTCTGCAGCAACAACACAAAGTTTTCAATCCGTCTTAGTGAGAGGAGGAGATGAAGCCAGGCTGTCCTGTAAAAACATGATTGATCAGAATAACTGCATACGAACCAACTGGTTGTTCAGTAAACCCGCTCAGAAAACGGCCATAGATTTGGTTAAATTCGGTCGAACTAATAAAACTCAGGCTTCCAGAGCTAGAGGAGATAGACTGCATGTCTCAGCAAACTGCTCTCTGATCATTCAGAGGGTCACAGCTGCAGATGTTGGAACGTATCACTGCCAACAAGTTTTCAACCAAACAGGGAAGGAGACTACATACTCTGCCTTTTTATCTCTCGTTAACTGTGAGTATAGATTCAGAGTGTATACATATATATATATATGTATGTATGTATATACATATTCTGAGCTCCACCAATGTTTAAACATCAGTTAACCTCAGGACTTTGTTTGCTCCTTCAACAGTAACTGCAGAGGAGGACGATGATGAGGTGACGCTAAGCTGCTCTGTGCTTTCCAATGATCCATGTAGTTACAGTTTAAAATGGCTTTTAAGGGGTCAAGATATTGATAAAGATAACAAAGCTCTGGAGACAGAAGAGTCAAACTGTGCTGCCAAAGTCACTTTTCAGACTTCTCATTACGTTTATGAGCCGGGCTATTATAATTCACTGCAATGTGAAGTAACAGAAGCTGGAGCCAAAAGAAAGCAGATGTTTGTCTTTGGATCTCGAAGCTCAGGTAAGAAAAACTACCATGTGGGAAAATCTCTGTTTTATTATGTAAACAGATAAATTAGCCCAACGTTTTGATTTTTTACATTTTTTTTTATTTGACATGAAATTCATGATAATAGGAAGAGTAAATCAACAATCGGAAGACAACGGAAAAGAAAAATCTAGTGAGTGTGGAAAGATTTTCTGTGCATCAATGTTTCTTTTGGCTTTGGTGTTTTTTTTTTTTTTATCACAGATACAGAACTGATGTATCTTTTATTTGTAAAATTATAAATCAGATTGTAGCGTGAGATAACTTTTAAAACCTCTTTTATGTACCTTCATTTTAAACAATAAGCTAAAACCAAACATTTCTGCTATTTTTAGATGCATGGTGGTGGTCGTTCCTCGTTGTAGGTGTCAGTTTGGTGGCTTGCCTGTTTGCTGCTTGGCTTCTGATCAAAAGGAGAAGGATTAAAGGTGGGAAAACGCATCTAAAACAACAGATCTGTTTATAATGTGGACACTAAAGTGTTTCCTTCCCTTTGCTCTTTGTAGGGAAGAGAACACACTTAGATGAAAACCTGGTAAGTGTTTATGATTTGTAAAGCATTGTACCTCCTACTCACTTTTTGCTAAACAAAGAAAACCGTTTGTGTTAATAATTAAGTGCTCTCCACACTTGTAAAACCAATTAAACACCATGTAGAGGTGATGGAAGGATTGTAAATGGCTTTTTGTTGAGGAGGGCCACTGCTACAGAGCAGCTGCTTTTCTGAGGTGCCTACCTGCAGTATAACCTGACTCCGCCAGATGGATTTGCTCCGCATATCCATCTGGAAACCTTCCATTGAAGTAATTTTGGGAAGGGGCAA